AAACTAACAATTGTGCTTTGTTTTTTTATTGCTGAAGAGTGTTTCTTCTCCTGCGTTCTACTGTACAGACGTGAATTTACTTTTCCTTCAGCCTGAGGTTTATTCTTTAGACTTTTTGGTGTGAAAGGGCTTTTATATTTGCTATAAATAGAACTTTTAAATTAAAAACAATCAAGCCCTGCTTATATATAAAAGTAACGCGAAAGTAACGCAAAAGTAATATAACGCATTACTTTCCATAAAAAGTAACTAAGTAACGTAATTAGTTACTTTTTTAGGGAGTAACGCAATATTGTAATGCATTACTTTTAAAAGTAACTTTCCCCAACACTATATATGTTTGTTTGTAAAATGGCAGTTTTATAAATATCTGAAAGTACACTCTTAACATCAGTCAGTCAAGCATTATAATATGATAATCAATGTTATTTAATGATAGAACTTTTGTAATTAGAATTAAAACTTGATAACCATGTATGAATGCATATTAGTCATTTTAACTGAACTTCGGGCTGGTGGTGGTGCTTTTTTGGTCATTCAGTGTTTCTGTAAAAAAAAAAAAAATTGGTGAAAAACTAACAAAAATACTGATTAGATAATAATGATACGAATTCTACTAATAAGAACAATATAAAACACACCAAGGATTAATGAGCTACTGGATTCATGAATATTAATCAGGTTGTGTGCGTTCGCTCGAACTGATTTGCTTAAATCAAAACAGGGACGATAATAGGTGAGCGCCAGCCAATGAGATTGCTGTTTGCGCATTAGTTCCGCCCACTACCGGAGAAAGCGGTAGTTCTTAAAACCTGAAGAATTCCAAAAGAACTCCGTTATTTTGACAGCAAAATACAACAAAGATTATCGTTTACATGTAGCACGCATAGGTAGCGCGTCAATTCTCTATCTCCCTCTCTCGCTGTGTGTGTGTGAAACAAAGCGACGGCGAGTCGTGCGCCTTCACACTAGAGTTTACGGTACGTTAAATACAGGTGCGTTGCACATCCTTTCAGATGAACTGAAAAACAGCACAGATCGCTTGGCGGAGAGTGAAACTCTGATGCGCTCAGTCAGAGAGTGTTCGGCGAGAGAAAATATATCTGAGCTAAACTTATACTTAGCCTCCAACTCACACACTGGCGAGTAAAATCTGAGAATTTATTAGCAATTGGCTAATATTAGACATAATTTAGTCGCCCAGAGTGAAGATTTAGTCACATATGCGAGTGATTTACTCGCAATGTAGAGGGTTGAATATAAAAACACTTTGTATTCTTCTGTGTGAGGTACAAATTTAACCTTTTGCTGCAACTGCTGGGTGAATTAAGAAAAAAAAAATTATATGCCTGTTTTGAAAGACATCTCCAATGATCACAAAGACTACATTTGTTTTAAATAAAAAATATAGGAAAAAGAATAAAATAATAAAAAAAAATATATATATATTTTAATTTATTCCTGTGATGACAAAGCTCAATTTTTTAGCAGGCATTACTCCAGTCTTCAGTGTCACTTGATTCTTCAGAAGATTTGGAGTTCAAGAAGCATTTCTTATTATTATCAATGTGGAAAACAGTTGCGCTGCCTAATGTTTTAGTGGAAACCATGATACTTTTTTCAGGTTCTTTGCTGAATAGAAAGATAAGAAAAGAGGAGCATTAATTTTAGAATTTATTTTATCTAAAATTATTAGTGTCTTTTGATCAATTCAATGCATTCTTGCTTAAATCATACTGATCTCAAACTTTTGAACAGTAGTGTATATGGAGTTAATATTCATGATCATGGTCTAATATAATTTTATATCTGTACAAATTAACAAATTCTATCCAAAAGGAGGAAGTGATTTTTGTAGGATGTTGAGCTGTAGAGTAGAATCTTGTTCTAGGGGTCCAAATTGAACTTTTTTGCCACACCCACCAATTTCAATTTACAATAAATATAACCTTTTTTATGCATCCTTGCTGAATAAAAGTATTGAATATTACTAACCCCAAACGTTTGAACAGTAGTGTAAAATACAGCCAACACCATAGAAATCCTGGGACACTCTACATGTCAGTACATGTAATTCTACACTTTGCTGGTATGACTAAAAGGGATATGTAAACCCTGTTATTTTTATAAATCTCCAGAGTTCTGTCACCACCTTAAAATTGAGTGACATGCATACTAGAGGCATGTTTATATATCATGAATCGTTGTGGTTGTATCTATGAAATCGTAGAGAGGCGGTGCACTGAAGAAAGGGCCAAATGCCAAAGCCCTACAGGAAATGAAGCAGTCTCTGCCTTATGCCCTTGAAGATTTAGTGTGGGACCAGGGCCATAAGACCAACATGCAGCAATGCTACTGCTACTGTGGAGGGCCTGGCGAGTAAGTGCAACACAGACACCATTGCTGAAAACACTGTTGGTTGATATAGTAGTTCTTAGGATAAACCCCACTAAGATCAGGCATTGAATCATAGGTTGCAGAGGATTGTGGGTACAGAATATCCCCAGCAGGAAGTAGAATTGTTATGACTGTCTTTACTCCCTCAGATGGTATCTGAAGATGTTGCAGTGTAATAAGTGTAAGCAGTGGTTTCATGAAGCCTGCATCCAGTGTTTTCAGAAGCCTATGCTCTTTGGAGACAGGTGAAGTACTGCTCTCCAATCATTTGATTAAAGTGAAAGCCAGTGGTTGAAGTCTTGTCATTTAATTAACGTTTTCCATCTTTATTCTCAGGTTCTATCTATTTATTTGTTCCGTTTGTAATAGTGGACCAGAGTACCTCAAACGTTTGCCTCTGAGATGGTGAGTTTTGAGCTGTTTTCACACTTTCACAGTGTGAAAGTCACCTCACGTGATTTTGAAGTCAAAAATTCAAAATTAAGTTGATTTTTGAAAGTGATGCAGAATGATTGTCAACACTAGGTTTTTTGTTTAATTTAATTGTTCAGGCTTATTTTTTCTTTTTTTCCATTTAAGATTGCATTACATTATAATGTTGTTTTGACTAAATTCACTTGTAGCATTTAAAATTATTTATTTGGTCTTAAGTGCCTTTTTTATAGCATTTAGTAAATAGTGTAGAATTTTAATATAAGCCATTTATTGTTATTTTGTTTATTAGCCAAAACACAAAAATGGAAATCCATTTTTTTCATGCTGTACATTATAATGTTGTGTTGTCCAGATTCACCTGTAGCATTTAAAATAATTAAGAATATAATAAAAATTAACAACCAATTTTAATTTATTAGGACAATATAGTATTTAATATCTGTCATGTATTGGTTATCTGCCATAACATAAAAGTAATTATCTTCTTATTGATATTGGCTAGAATTTCTTCATGACCAACTTTTTTGTTTAAATAGTTTCACAGAGGATTTTTTTTGTTCCATCACATGTGGTCTTCATTCACAGGGAAGATGTTGCACACCTGAGCCTCTATAACCTGAGTGTAATTCATAAAAAGAAATACTTTGACTCAGAGCTCGAACTGATGACTTACATCAATGAAAACTGGGACAGACTTCAGCTTGGCGAGGTATCGGTCTGCCTAGTTGTTGTAATTGCATTAGTTAATCCGCTAGTTTTAATGTCTCTTTATTTAATTTATGGCTTTGTACCTCCAGCTTGCAGATACACCAAGAGCAGAACGATATGAATGCATTCTGGAAGCACTTAACAGCAACCTAAACATGTGAGTTTATCTATTTGCCCATCATTGGCATTTTACCTTAATAAAGTAAAGCTTGAATGAATTTATCTTGTCCTTTTGCCCTGGTGGGTTTCAGGTTCATGTCAGGGAAAGAGATAAAAAAGAAGAAACACCTGTTTGGATTACGAATTCGCTTCCCACCAGCCCCCCAGAGTTCTGAGCTCCTGTCAGGTCGAGAGCCAGAAAAAGCCTCCCATGAGATCAAAATCAAAGGCAGGAAGGCCACCAAACCCCCTCATTCATCCAGGTTAGTCATCGCTTATTTAATTCTTTTGGCTCTACTGTGGTGAACGTATCTTATGCTGAACTCAAAGCTACAGTTTAATTGTTTTTTATTTGCCTTAATTTTGTAATTGTTTTAGCACTGTCACTAATGGAGTGAAGAAAGGAAAGAGGAAGCATCACACACACTCTTTAGAAACGTTGGCCAAACTGAGAAGATCAAGTGAACTTTTGGCACAGGTAAATAAGTGAAATAAATGTTTATATTTGCTGGTTTTGTTTTATGGTTTTGTTAATCACCTAAAAAGCGCATAGTTTAATTAATGTGAACATTAACATTTAGTTTGTAACTTTTTTTTTTTAATGAAGAATGATGGGAAGTTTCCAACTCTAGACAACAACTCACTGGACCTGATGGCTTCAAAAAGGTGATACAGGGATTAAAACAAAATGCTTTCTAGAAATTATGCTGAATTATAAAAATCCACCTTTTCCCCCCTACATTTTTAGTGCTAAAAGTGAAAAATCTTTGCCTTCATCAAGTACCTCAGATGTTGAATCTGTTGGTGCCACCAGCACTAGTGAAACTACCTCAACCACCCTCTCAAGGCAGTCCAGGTGATTTATTTTTCATTTCATTTTCATGACAATTTTCATTTATTCATCCACAGTACTGTGATTATTAGGGGTGTAACGATATTCAAACCGAACCAGAAAACTGCGATACACCACCTCAATATGTAATTGCGTCATACCAAGAGTACCGTGGTCCGCCCCCGCCCCCCCACAGCCCTGACCCACTTGAGGTTGACCCCACTTGCACCACGGCTCATCTCAATGTAGAATGTGGTTTGTTGAAAATAACAATGCGTAAAATAGACCTATTGAATTCCCACATTATAACAGCAATGATCAAAAAACGTGGACAAATGACACGGAATGCACGCTAGTATACCAGTCATTAACGCCTTTGTCACCCTGGTTTTGAAAGTGCGCAAACGCAGGTGAGACATGAACAGCTCACACTATCTGTGTTTAAACTAAACTCATTTGCACGTGTTTTGAAGCCTTGTCAGTTGAAACATTCAAGCAAAGAATAAGAGCTCTCCTCAACCACCACCAGTGTGCAGCATCCACCTGGATGATGCGACGGCAGCCACAGGACAACGGCGCCAGTGCACTCACAACACGCCAGCTACAGGTGGAGAGGAGAGAGAGATAGAGCCAATCAAGTGGATGTGGATTATTAGGAGGCCATGATAGACAAGGGCCAGTGGCGGCAATTTGGCCAGGACACCGGGGTTATACCCCTAATCTTTACGAGAAGTGCCATGGGATTTTTAATTACCACAGAGAGTCAGGACCTCGATTTACGGTCTCATCCGAAGGACGGTGCTTTTTGACAGTATAGTGTCCCCGTCACTATACTGGGGCATTAGGACCCACACAGACCACAGGGTGAGCACCCCCTGCTGGCCTCACTAACACCTCTTCTAGGGCTGCACGATATATCGAAATTATGTAAATATCGCAATATGCATATCGCAAGGGCGTGCGATATCTGAATCATTTTAATAATAGGCTACTTAAATCAAAACGTTGCAAAAGGTCAAAGTTTTAGTTTGACGCATATAGCAGAGAAATGCTTGACGTTAAAAAGAGTTAAGTGCGATAAGTTGCAGAAAACAACTCTTTGCCGTCTTGTCTTGTTGTCTGACTCACACCTGAAGCGCGTGCACAAGCCGCATCTCGCACAGCGTCTCTTCTGCCGCACACGTGCAAAGCGAACGGACCCACAGAGACGCGTTTCACACGGCGCGCGAACACCGAGTTGATTCGTCTTTTGTATCTCCTTTTATGTAATGCTAAAACACTGCTGGTCACTTTCAGAAGTTGTAGTGATTCTTTCTTTTCCAAGAAAGAATGTGAAACAAATTGGTTATAAAATTTTCATTTTTAAATATTTTAAAATATAATTGAAATTGATTTTACACACTTTAAGCAATATCGTATCGCATATCGAATATCGCATTTTTTAACAAGATATCGCATATCGCATTTTTCTTCATTATCGCACAGCCCTAACCTCTTCCAACAACATCCTAGTTTTCCCAGGAGGTCTCCCATCCAGGTACTGACCAGGCTCAACCCTACTTAGCTTCAGTGGGCAACCAGTCTTGGGCTGCAGGGTGATATGGCTTGTGGCTCATTCAGTACCTGCACGCATCATAATATAATAAGCATTTATTTAAATAAGATACTTTCTGATACTTTCTAAATATATATCAGGCTTAAAGTTCTCCGGCACCGTGCCAGATCTCCGGCGTGCGGCGTTTGGCTGCAGGAAAAAAAAAAAGATAGTCGTTCTACATTTAAAAACACTTGTTGATATCACGTTCGAGTTCATGAGTTCGCCTACCAATGTATGAGAGGAACACCGCTTTCAACCAAACTAACATTACTAGCCAATCAGAAGTTTTTGCTCTTATAAACACGAGACGCGCATAATAGTATCCAATTGCAGAGTCGCAGCTGATGAATGGAAAAGAAGCCTGGGTCTCGAGCGCGACACATTGAAAGAGTGTTGCTTAACGTTCATCTGGGAAAACTCACTTGATTTGTAGCGTAAATCATTTAAACCTATGCCAACACAGGAGAATACAGCATATTTCTAAATATGCGATTTATTGTACATCACGATTTCAAAATAAAAGTTTCTGACTTTGCATGTGGCCAAATATTAAAATTAAATGGATTTAAATGTCATTGAATCACATGAAACATCACCAGGCCGTTGGCGCCCTCTGCAGGTATTTGTTATAATATAGGCATATTACATTATGTATTTAACAGTGTTGTTCA